TTAAACCGCAAATCGTAAAATACTGCGCTTGAGTAATTTTAGATGGCGTGAAAAATGCCACGTTATTCGGGTACCAATAAAATCGTCCTTGATGCAAAAATGAAATTATTAAGGAAAACGTGCACGTCAAGGCAAACCCATGCGTCCCCCAAACTTTTAAAATGGTTACTAACGATTTCAGTTTTTAAGCGGAGCAAAATTATCATTATAATTTTTTGGGCGGCCAACTCGCACAACTTTATCTGAAAGTTGGCGCTTGTTTTGTGTAATTTCTAAGTTCCAGCCCAACTGATTTTCCTATTGTTATTTTCCGTCAGATTAACTTTCTTTGCATCTCTTTGCAAACCTTAACTTTCATGCCCCTCTTTATTTTGTTACGTTTTATACATGAAATCGGTTAATACAGTCTGAATAAATGCTAGATGAGCCAAATCCAAGCTAAAAGATATGCATGCATATATTTTCCTCAATAATATTTCCTTGGACTTCTCATTTCAAGGAACGCAAAATACTTGCACAAGCTTAAAATTTATATCCCACTCTTTCACAGAATTTAAAATGTTCCGTATTGGGAGATACGTGCAGATCTTCAATGCCTCCCAGACGACTTTAAATCACTGAATAATACTTATATTCGATGGAAAGCAGACTGTTTAGCTGTGGGGTTAGTTAGCTGGTCAATTCCGTTTAAAAACTGGCGATTTTTTCGCTCACATTAAACAGATGCATTTGTTTACGTTTTTCGATCGGGGAAAAAATGGTTCACAGTCTATATCAAAGTAGGTACTCGGTAATCAAATTGATATATACAGGCTTATCCATTTTATGTTTGGGAAAGTAAAGTAAAAAGTTATACTTGTTTAGTTTATAATAAGCAACAAGCGAATGTCACTAAAAATAAAAAATTTCAACGCTGTTAAAATTTTTAATTAAAGGTGGCAATTACAAGAAAACATGATGAAACATTGATCTTGACAACACCGCAAATGAGGGGAATACCGGATAGTAAAATTATTGTAAAGTGAAGTGGGCTCGTTGGACTCATCAATAGAACAATTTTTTCTGTTTTGGTGATAATAAGTTACAAAATTGATAATCATAAACTGTTGAGTTTGAAAGAAATCGTGCGAAGTGGTTTCATTTGCAGGAAAATCTGTCTGAATTTTTCCAACCTTTACTATCTTGCACATTTATCAACAGGAACCAGTGGCCTAAGATATTCTGAATATACAAGCCAAGAGTCATATATGATCCCTATTGAACCATAGCCAAATGCCAAAAGCAAATTAAAAATATTGCGTAACTATTTAGCATTTTATTCAATAAGTTTCGAACTTAACTTCCACAATTTGCCAATTAAGATAAGATCGACATGTCTGTTATATAACGAAAACATGTTTATTTTTATAATTAAAATGAATCAGAACATAAAGACATCCACATTTACAAAACAATCGAGCTGGCTGTATGTGTCTAGATAGGCACTAAAACCCCAGTAAGAAAATTAAACACTTCCTTTCTCGTCGCAAAAAATACATTACTATAAATCATATGCCGGTTGTTTTTCGAATAATTTATGTCGGTCCGAATATATCATGCTTCTGGTCGTAGAGTTGACAGAATGAAGGATAATGAAAACCAAATGGACGCTTAATTTCAAAGCATTCCATTTAAATGTTTTCGCTCGAGCCATTCCGAAGAAAAATATTTGATTCTCACATTTCCTTTTCAAATTTTCCTAAATACTCAATAATTTCCTGTGATGAAAACTTCATTGCTTACCTTCTTGCCATGTTTCTAGGTTTCGCGCAAATAATTTGCTTTCAAAGTATTCGTCGTCACGCCAGACTATAGACTGTGTATTACCGTAATTGGGAATTATTCCAATTGGATTATCCCTGTTGTCATTGTGGATTTACAGCAAAGATAAACCAACGTTCCTTTTCATTTCATAGTCAAATTAATCGTGCACATCGGTTAAAATGGAATTATTTTGATCTTGAGCGGATTATGTAGTTTTTATAACTGATTTATTAGTCTGCAAGAAGGTTCAAAATTAGTTTCCCCTAATAAGCCACTAAGACTGTTTGCTATTGATGTTAGGGTAGTTGTAGGTAAAAGATAATTGAAAACACCGAAAACTCTTGTTAACCCTTACACCCACAATATATTCAAGAAACAGGCAAATTTGTCAGAACACAGGGGCTTCATAAATATAATTTGCTTTCAAAATAAGAGCAAAACAACCCTTTGCTTGGGTAATTTTATTATCGTTATCAAAGAATATACCTTTTTGTAACTCGGGGTGTCATCCAGTTTTCCGCAACGGGCAGGATTAATTTTATAATGCAGTAATTCCGGAATAGAAGTGGATATTGTTTGAAAATCAGATCCATCCTAGTTGCCATTCGATAAAGGAAGAACAAACAGAATGTTTTTAATTAGTTAAACTTTATATTGTTGCGGCGGATTCATTTGTTCACAAACTGTTTGTTGGGTATTTCGCCTCAAAAATGTTTGTCTTTAAAAAAGACAGAATTTCTTCACGTCTTTTATCAATCTGTAATAAAAGAAGTGTAATAAAATAATGTCTTTTTTAAAGGCAAATACAAACATTTTTGAGGCGAAATACCCAACAAACAGTTTGTGGAAAAATAATTAAACTTTATTAGTTAGAGTTTACAATATTTTTCACTATGCTTCAACTAGAAATCAGACACTTTAGGATACCCATGAACATTATTTACTATTCAATACCGCTTCCCATTAAAGCAAAACGACTTCAGTTCCCAATAGCTACGTGTCATGTAAAGCGGTTGATTTTATTTGAGTTTTGAAGCGGTTTTATTCGATATTTCATCAAATTCCTGATGGAACTTGAAAAATTGATTGAATGAAACAGTTGGGTCACATCACCAGCGACACAGTCGTTGCTAATAATATATATGAATATATATGTCACCTTTCTTGTAAAACTTAGCCGCGAAACAAAGTATTTGATTAACAGTATACTCATAAAAGACTTGTAACAGACAACAGAATGTAATGTGAAAAATAAAACTATCCCTTGAACTGAGAAATAGCTGTTCAGTTGAAATTTCTATTGAAAACTTTCCTCGTTAGATCAAGAACTTCTATTGTTTAAAACAACTCCATGGGTATTAAAATAAGTGGTGTACAGGAACTCTGTTTTTCAATTTAAGGGAGCGTATAAATCCGATATTCAGTGTTCAGTGTACATGTGAATAAATAATTGCAATTCGACATTGTCTGGAAGACTCTAAATAAACTAGTCAATTATCTCTGATACCGTAAGCCCTCAGCTGGGTTGTTTGCTTCAACAAAACATACTCATTAGTATATCACTCCTTCAGAAGTTAAAGTTTACCCGTGTGTTAATCTGGGGATTAGGTCTATTCTTCCTTTATGCTCATATCTCTACCTTTGCTAAATGCCATTATCCAGCTAAATATATGGTACATGGATGGAACGCTATTCGCATGAAAGCTAAAGAATGTTAATGAAATGTAGCTCCATTTATCGCTTTTCGCAATAAAATAAAATTTTGCCTGCATAGTTCATTATTGCAGTTAAGGCGTAATCAGCCTTAATGAGCGAATGGAGAGATGCATTTCGTTATTTATAAAAGTAGAATTCCGCTCTAGATTTCCTGGAGCTACAAATAAGATATAAAATCGTAAGTTATATAGAGCAAATAATCCATGGGATCACAAGTCCAAGCTTCTAAATTTCATGGAGACGCCTAATTTAATTAACTATGTCATCGCAATAGCATGATAGATATACACATTTCGTAAACTCTGTATTGGGCTAGAAGCATTGCGATCATTTTAACAAGCTCCCGAAGGAGAGGAAAACAGCAGTAACGGAACAAGGGGTTCGGGAGAAACGGCTGGAAGCAGTCGATAAATAATTTTAGAGCATATCGAAATTTTTAAAGCAATAAATAATGCTAATCTCCCATCCTCTATCTAGTTTTGTTCGTTTCTCCCTTCTGAAATACTAAATGTGCTCAGTTTTAAACTGCGAAATTATGCATTCAAAAAAGAGCATCTCTGCTTATTTTACTCTCATTGGCTTGCGGATATTCAATACTGGAATGAGTGCCTCCTTTGCGTATACAGGTCACATCTGATTTAGAACGTCAATATTTCATTTGAAATATTGATTTTTAGAATCAGTAGTGAATCCCAATAATTATATTACGTTTTTGCTAGTAAAATGTATCTTCGCAAATTTTTGCTCGCTAAATTCCTAATTTGCCGAACATGTTGTTCAAATACTACTCATACGGTTTGAAGGCAAAATGAACACACATTTGGTTATCACTGTTGTTGCTTTGTGTATAGGCTGGCCTTTTCACCGTGTAATGTGGTCGCTAAAGCCACATTTTTCAGTTCGTACACGTGCTTTCAGGCAAAATCCGGATTTGCTAATCAGGGATGAATTGTAATTGGCAGCTATATTATTGGAATCAAACGGGCACCATGGTGATTTAACAAATGTTCTGTTGAATATTCAATATACGTCGTCATTTACCCAATTTAATTCAACCCTTGGTAAATGATTGGAAAATAAACATTTTCTCGTATGTAATCGTCTTCGTTTTATGCTTATTACCTTAACTATTATTGGCAAAATGTTGATTTTTACTTCTGATGCAAATGGACATTATGGTCGCACTTCTTCTGTTAAATAGAGTGCGGATAACCAGAGGACTTACCAACAACATTAAGTTTGAAGGCTTGGCTGATTTTGGGTTCGGTGCTGACTTGACATTCATAGACACCCGAATCGCGAGTTTGAGAGGAGGTGATCTTGAGGGTCCATTCATCGGATCCATCAGTATGAAGCGACATGAATCGCTGATCATTTGTGTATGTTTGAATTCCCACTGTTAATATATGCAAATCTCGTTTGCGGATCCAAGACACCTGAAAACCAAGATATTATATGTGAAACTTTCAAACTACAAAAAAATCGGCTAATGATTTACTAGAAACATGGGCTTGATAATGTTTTTGTTGAGTAAAATATTGCTTTTCCCTTAGAAAAAGTGACCACATTCGGGGAGGCGAGATATATACCAGGATGCATGTTAGCAGATGTACACAAGGTAATATATGGTGACACAACCCTTTTAAAACGGCCGTGCCGTAAATGCAATGCACTGCTTTGTACGATGCGCTACTTTTATTTCATTTACTCTAACAAAGCTATTTTGTCCATTTGTCTTTGTCGGTTGTTTGTAAAAAAATAACTTTCGAGAATGCAAAGAAAGCGATTTCGATTTAATTACAACGCAATTAAGCAAATAAAATTGTCATTACTAGACTATAATTAAAGTCGCTTTAGCTAAAACGCGATTAGACTCGTTTAGAACTTTGATTAGTTCCAGCTTCAAATGTCCAATGAATTGAAATAAAGTGCTACAAATACAAATAATTAATGTCTTTTAAATTGGATATTAAGAAAATACGTCTGTTTATTAAAACGAGATTTTCACAGGCAGTAGTTACTTATGACCCATGTTTCCTTTTTGTTTTCAGAATATATTATTTTTATTATAAACTCAATCAATCACATTTAGGAGTGTTTTCCGGGCTTTGAAGCCGTGGTCTATGGGAATTTTTTCCTGACGTTTCGTCCACAACTGCAGTGGACATTATCAAAGGCGATGAGGCAGTGGGCGAAGTGATCTCCCGTGCTTTCCTACTAAGACTGGTTCAACTGCTGGATTCCCCGTCGTATTT